CCGTTATCCATGATGAAAGAGCCATTGAAAAAGAGGAGTAATAATGCCATTGATGTACAGTGATGATATCATACCAACATGGAGTCTCCTTATGTTAGGAGAGATATCTCCTGACATAACAGGTTTTATTGTTCGTTCGATTATATTCAACTTTTAAGATTCTATGAAAGAATTAGAAAATATCTAGTATAAAATACGGCTCAATTTTTCCATTCGATCTTCAATGGGTTGAAAAAGACAACATCCAACGGTTGTAAAATATGAGTGGCATTTGAAGAAAGACACAGAATTGTTCTAAAATGTTTCATGAATATGTATGACATTTAGTTTAGTGAAATTTCAGAACTGCAATATGGATATTTTTATCACTTACACATTATTTTCAACAGACAATTTAAGTGTTTCGACCTTAAAGCGGCTCCCATGTCCATCAAGAATCAAAACTATTGGACGTGGCAAAATTTTCGTATGTTTTAGAAAAATTTGTTCAAACCACTCATAAAATAACGTTTTTTCCATCCAACCACTTAAACAAAAAATTTCTTTTAATTGTATTGGGAAAAGGAATGTTTCAGCAATCATCGCTCAATAATATTATAAAGCATTCATATTAAAGTAATGTTAAAACCAGCGAGAAACGTATTAGAAATATATCTGAGATTCTATAGCATTATACACTTAGTAGTAATTAACTTTTTAACAATGTGTGCTGCTGGTAAAAAGAATAAACTCAACGAAAATGAAACACCCACTGACATGTAGACTGTTTATATTTAGTTAAATATAAACCTAATTTCATTGGACAAACGTAAAATTATACAAAATTTTCGATTTATATTTAGTACTTAATATTATTTCACCAAGATCTATTATCTGCGACACCCACCATTGAATAAATCGATTGATATAACTAATAGGAAAGTATCTCTAGTTTTTGAAAAAATTTTCTTCTCTCTGATTTTGCTATAAACTAAATATTCCTTAGCTGAATATTCATAGAAAACGTCAAGGTAGATACCGATAAGTTTTAAAACAATAGATCGTCTTAATTTTCTTATCAATAAGAAAAAATTTTCATGAAAAATCCTCTGCTCTTATTATCATAAGTGTTAATGATATTCTAACTGATTTTCTTGAGTATCACAAACGTCATGAAGATTCTGGCAACCTAATGATGCTGAATCCTATTGTTTTTTCTTTGCAAGAAAATTACTTTTCAGAATTAGAAAAATCGGCCTCTGGTGGTCACCAAAACACCATTCCTGATACAATCGTTTAGATTTGTAGACAACAAATGGTGGCAACAAAAAGCCAGTAGCTGAAGCACAAAACATCACACTAGTAAACGATTTTCCACCAGAGCCTCCTTGGATTCGATAAGCATTAGATGTTCGCCGATGTACAAGTACTTTGGAGTAGCTGATGCTATCAGACAAGCCTATAGTACAATAAAAATCAAATACATGTTACTGTATGCATACATATAGGGTTTTACCTGTTTCATCACAGTTAAACAACTGAGCCAGCCAATTCGCTAAATCGTTTTCTCCAATAACTTTTGATAATAATCCGAACCATTCTTCAATTTGTTCTGAAGTTAATGCTGCACGCTTCTTTTCCAATGGATATGATTTTTTCAAAATAAGATTTGTGTGTCGTTTCAAAAATGAACGAAGCCAATCATACGTTGGTTTTCCTGCTGGAAACAAATTACTTTTGTTCAGAGATGAGGCATATTCTTCGGAGATATGCAAAAACTCTTCGATGGATAGCGGGTCACCCCAGCTCTTTATTAAAAAGGAATGTATTTTAAGAAAATTAGATACACTATTTCTAACTTACGTGCAACGCAAGAACTGCTTGCTCAAGATAAACTTCTTCTTCAATACTAAACTTAGTTGGTCGACCGACTTGATCATATAAAACTTCATTATTAACATGAGAATTTAATGTTGTATATGGAACAAGAAAAGTATTTGATGCTTCACGTATTGAAGATCCACTTGTAACTGCTTCCATGGCCAGTTTAAAGTTACTATCTGTGTATTTCTTTTTCACATTTTTTTTACATATTTACGTGGCATTATTTACAACTACTTTCTAATCAAACATCACCGAGAAACCGTTAAAAAATTTATAAGATGAATACAACCAAATTTATTCAACGAGCAATCTTATATATGTTAGAGAAGAGAGCAGTAAAAACGATATCGAGGACAGTATATATCCTACCTTTTCCTCTTCCATTCACGAGGTTCAATATGCAACCCACCTCGATAACATAGAAAAATACGGCGTATTTTACTCGTTATATACAAGCGAAGTTAAAATACAAATAAGAATAATTATGTCCCTCAAAAATATAAAACCACAACGAAAAACAAATTATCATCTCTGTAACTTATTCCGTATCCTCCAAACCGAAACATTAGATGATTTTGAGATAATATACTAATCATATGATATTTCGACCAACAAAATGAGTCAGAAGTTAGATTTTTATAATAACGATTAATGCTAAAATTACGTTTTCAACATGAAACACGCTTGTCAAAAGAAATCAAACATGATTATCAATCTCTACAACACCATAAAAGCACTAAAATTCAACAATCATGATCTTCCAGATTTTTTTTTCTACTCTATCATTTTGTAGCTCGAACATTTCTAAATCTGAAGGTGCAAAGTCTTTTTTTCTAGGATCTATTTTAGGCTAGAAATATTTAGTGAAATATCGTTAGGATGTGTCATAAGTTGGAACAATTTTTCGTATTATTTCAGTTGATATATTGTATTGAATTGATCGGATAAAATGTGATTTTTTTGTAGGAGGAGATAGAGAAAATAGAGATGAACAACTTCTCTGTAAGGCTTAGTGGTCGATTTTGCACTGTAGAGACGGTAGAGGTTTCAGAAATGATCAGCAGCAAAAATAGCTGGAGTGATCCGAACTACCCCAGGTAAAATTGCTTAGCTGATCCGAATTATCCCAGATGGATTTTCAATTGATTGATAGAGGTGTTCTTGTTGTGAGTATTGTATTACAACTGTCGGTTCGACTGTCGAGATGTTTTCAGGATCCATAGAGGACACGTAGGGCTATCAAATGGTATATTTGCTTTTCAGAAGTTCGAATAAAAAAAAAGTTAGAAGATGGAGAAAATGAGCCAAGCAGTTTTTGCTGTAGTGATCCGAATTACCCCACCTAGATTCATAGAGTGATCTGAATTATCCCATGTGGGATAACTGGGATCAGCTCCACACTACTTTTGCCATTTTCACTGAGACTTTTTACCGGTATAATATTTTTCGATAATTCTTTCGTAAGTCGATAGAGAACACTTTGAACTAGCAGTGATAAAAAAATCATCATTGTAGAATGTAAGATGACTGAGAAAGAACAAAAACAAAATGAATTTTCAAAATTTTGATCCGAATTACCCCAGACTCTACATCAGAACAAGCTCAATCACTTCTTCAACAAACATCATCTACAAAAACAACAAATTTCATCACAACAATCGACGATAATAATGATGATGAGCAATACAAAAAACTTTAATACGTGTGAGGACACACTTTTCGGGAGAGGGGACGACTGTTACAGGTATATCACACCGAACATACTTTCCCTTGTGTTTCTATCTTCTCTCTCTTTCTCTCTCTCTTTCTCTTTTTCTTTCTTTCTTCTTTCCTCTTTCTTTTGGATTGTTATAAATATATATGTATGTGAAAAATTGTAAAGAGGAGATTCGATAAATAAATGTAAAGCTCGAACACGACGAGCTAACAATCCTTCAACTCAATCACATTGATAAATGAAAGAAAGTTTCTTCTGTAATTCGAGTTTCTTCTGTAATCAAAGCCCAGTTACATCAATATCATACGAACCAAAATCATATTTTAGTCGCTTTATAGGTAAGGTGCGCGTAATTCAAAAATCGAGTGAATTTTTTTCTGTTTATTTATCTATGGTTAGATAGAGCTCGTTGAACTCTATAAAACTGTATATTTGAAAAAATTTTCAACTCCCTTTTTTAACTGAAAATATCAAAAAAACTCGATTTTTTGAATAATAAGCAAAATATCCGTTTTTTTCAAAAGAGTCAGCTTTTTTTAGACCATTTTTATTGTGTCGCAAGCTCGAAAGAATTGGTTTCGGATAGAGCATGTAAAACTGCATATAAATGATATGAATTTGAAAATGACGTATGATTGTTAAGGTATGCTAGGACTAGGATCCTAGACTTTTGGGCTTCTACGGTNATCAGCATAAAAAACTGCATAAAACAAATATCAATTTTATCTCAAAATGTTTTCCATCGAAATTAGACCTGAGGGGGAACACAGGCGAAATTACTTGAAAAAAGAGCTGAGGGATAGTACAGGTCATATGTTTGATGAAAAACATTTTGAAATGAAATTGATATTGTTTTATGCAGTTTTTTTTATGCTGATTCAGAATATCGTATCCATTCTACTTGAAAATGTCTTTTAACGGTCAAAATCTCGTACAAAAACTAAGATTTTAAGCAATTTTTCTGAGATATCGAAAGAATTGAATTTCTCGGCAACGGTGCGGAATAAAAATAAAATCATACGTAACTTTTTTCCCTGTCATATCCTGAATAAAATGAAGTGAAAATCTTGGCTGAATATCCAAGCTAGCGAGACTACATACTTTTGCAATTTACTCGAGTCGATTGCATCAAACGACCGTAGAAGCCCAAAAGTCTAGGATCCTAGTCCTAGCATACCTTAACAATCATACGTCATTTTCAAATTCATATCATTTATATGCAGTTTTACATGCTCTATCCGAAACCAATTCTTTCGAGTTTACGATACAATAAAAATGGTCTAAAAAAAGCTAACTCTTTTGAAAAAAACGGATATTTTGCTGATTATTCAAAAAATCAGGTTTTTTTAATATTTTCAGTCAAAAAAGGGAGTTGAAAATTTTTTCAAATATACAGTTTTGTAGAGTTCAACGAGCTCTATTTAACCATAGATAAATAAAGAGAAAAAAAGTTTACTCGATTTTTGAATTACGTGCACCTTAGTATCATTAATCAGTATCGGGTAATTTATATATGATTCACAATAATTATTATTAAAATCTTGGACTACACGAAAATTATTTTTTTCACACGCCAACAAAACAAAGCAGCGTCATAAGTATTATCTTTGCATTAGCCGTTACTGAATATCCTTTAACTACTCAATATTGAAAGCAGCTCTTCATTGAACGCTACGAAATGCACTTTATTACGGTGAAAGCCCAGCGAAATTATTTTTCTAAGAGAAAGCAAGTACTCTTGTTATACTCTGGCGTTCAGCAATAGTCTAAGTTCGAGTTTGCTTTATAGAACGGCTTAAATTCATTAGGTTTTAGAAGACTACGATTCTGATCTTGCATACAGAAGATTTGCATCACGCTGTTCGTGTTTTAAAACCATTCGACTAGCAAACCTTCTATAAATCATTTCACATCGTTTCAAAAATAGCGTGTGATGCAGTGTGATTTCGTTGTTGTTTTCTCTATCGTGTGCTTTCATCTCATCTACTTGTATTCTTTCGTTCTGTGAATTGTTCTATTGCGTCTATACATATATAGATAGATATATGCATAGTTTCATATGCAAGTAGTCAGTACTACATTCCAGCTACTCGTTCCGTTCGTTTCTTTCTTTCATCTTGTTATTCTGTTTCTGCTTTTCGAGTCAATAAAATACATTATTGACCTTGGGCGCTCTTATATCTATTACGTAATTCGTAATACGTGACATAATGGAAAGGAATTAATTTTTGCTTAACTCACATGCATTGCATATGGAAATTGCTGTAACAGGATGGATGCATTTTACATCATTTCTGATTGAAATGATGCAAAATGCGTTTGAAACAGAAACGCATTGCACATTTTCTTTAAATTGTGACTCTAAAACGCGTTGTCTGCAGACTGAAGTGCGTTTCACAGCGTTTCAATTCTAAAACGGTTCGAAACGCAATGTAGAAAAGAAACTTTTCGGATTGCTTCGAAAAATCAACGTAGCGAAACGCGTTACGTGGCCCGTTTCCTTCAATTTTTTACGGCATGGGTACTATGTCCGAATAAGTACTAACTGAAACTACTCATATCTTTCTGGCGAAGAAAAAAGGTACTGAATAGATATTTGTTGCTTAATTATAAAAACTTTACTGTTTTTATTCGACTAATTCGTTGAACTTCTTGTTGCATGAATAAAAACAAATTAAATGATCGGTTGCGTTCGAAAATGTTATTGGAGACTTTCACTACGTGCTCTCGTTGCCATTATTGCTCTATCGGGTTTGTCATTTGTTAATGAACAAAGGCTAAATGATTTCGGGAAAACAAATAGTATTAAATGCATAGAAAATGATTTTGTCAATGTCATAGGACTCACCTGTAGCTGCGACAGAAAGACAGAAAAAGAAATGGTATGAATTATAAATTGATGAATTATCTGAGATGCTTCAAGTATTCCCTAGAGTTGCATTTTGAACTACACATATATGACACTGCATACAAAGAGACGACCTTTGGTCATGACTCTGCAGGAGTGCACAGCCATCATCCGTGCTGGGACACTAAAATAACGAGTCAATCATGTTACACAAAGTTTTCGTAGACGCGAAAGCATTTTAATGATAGACGAACTCTATCTCTTTCTTTTCTTCTGAGTTTACATGAGCCTCAACTCGATCTCGCATTAGGCAGCTTATATTTGTATCAGGTGATACTTGTAGGGAACCAGCTTTAGGAAAATTCTATCCCATCTATAAACTGATGGTTCAGATAATTTTTTTTATCTAACTGTGTGCCGTAATTACAGAGAAATTTGATCTCATTTATAAAGATAAAATTCAAGGCAAAACATTTTTCTGTCTATGTGGCGTAGTTACAGAGAAACTCGATCTCATTTATAAACATAAAATTCAGGTAAAACTTTTGTATTTATGTGTCGTACTTATAGAAAAGTCCGATCTCATTTAAGGATTTTTCATTACGATAAAAGACTTTTCTGTCTGACGCAAATGTCGGCAATTTTTCCAATTATTTGCGAATTCTTATTAAGCACTGCTAGAGACACTTATATTGTAATAAGAATTAGACAGTTCGCAGATTTTTCTCATATAGTTTCTTCTATTGTGTATGTTTTAATTTGGCATGCATTTAATGTAATTTCTAAAAATATAACAATGTATATCTAAATTATATCAATATTGCCTAACTTATTAGAGTAGTATCTATTCTGATAAAAGGATGCCGTTAAAAAAAATGTTTAATCTGATTTTGTAATTCATCATCTTTTAAATCCATTAAATATCTGAATGAAAAAATGTTCTGTCTTTTAATTCAATATATTATCACTTTTAACAAATGACTATCAATGAATTTATCAACGTGTCTAATTAATTTGAATACAATATATAATTCATAAGTACTTACAAATTAATTGAAAGAGTATATATGAGCTGGGAATCACGATAAGTGATAAGAAAAACGTTAGTTTAAAAAATATCTTGGGTGGGGTGTGGGTGTGAAGAGAGATAAGAACACCACATTCTGAAAACGTATTTCTAACCTATCCTGCAGCGAATTTTTCATTTTTTTCTTTTATACGCATATTATTGCATCTTTTTAATCTAATCTCCTTCACTTATCCCTATTCTTTGAACTCAAGGAGATCAGATATTTGGATCTGACTGACCTTGAACTGGTCTGATTTCTATCAGACCACGTCATAGTAGTCCTTCCTGATCACCGACCAAGAGAGACATTTTCTTGACCCAAAATATTAGTCGAAAAATTGTCTAGAAAAAAGATTAAATAAAAAATTTATGCTTTGTATTTTCAATCGCATTCCTTATATATAGTTATGCGGGCATAATAAAAGAGTGAATGAATAGACTGCAGACAGAACGCGACAAATTCTAGCCTCAACGGATTCTTGCGCTGGAGTTCACGACACAATAACTAAGGACACATAAATACGACATATTTTAAATTAGAGTGAATCTTGTTTAAAGAAAAAAATTCTGTATTGCTTATATAACTTTATTTCTATTTGGAGATTTGAAATTTTCTTTTCTGTTCTGTTTTTTTGTTTTGTTTCTTTTCTCTCATTTCTATCTTTTTTTTTATCTTTAATTAAATCTACTATTCCAATCTCAACTGAATTCTTATGTCAATTGTAACATATATATCCTTAATAGATCCGCTAGGAAATTATTTTTTCTGATAGGTGTTATAATAGACTTTGTTATAAAATAATATTGTTAGAATAAATCCGTTTGATAAAATCGATCCGAGGATAGTTTACAGTGTGCTATATATGGATTTATCTTATTTATAAGATCATTGTTCCACGTTATACCACATGGAGAAAATATCCCGGAACATTTAAAAGATCTAATATATCCCACTAAAATAAGTCCCGGTAGCTCCTATCCAAGCCAATTGTTTAGGCCTTTCAGAGATGCACTCACTACTCTTGAGCAAAATGAGACAAACTATCTGAGCCAGTATCCGAAAAGAGCATCGAATTCAGGTTCTAACTCGTGCAGTTTCCCTTGTATCGAGGACTTTCAGGTGCGTCAAAATTAACAAACATTTTGTCCACAAAAAATTTCGGACAACCCGTTAAAAGAAACTATGATTTTTTAGTGAAACTCAACATTATTAAAAGAGTTAAAATTTTTACATCCACTGGGATCTGATATATGCATTCTCAGTCGGAAGCTCCTCGTTCTATTTTAAACACAAATGCAAATGCTCATTGTCACACAGTGAAAGTGTTTAGACTCGTATAAATACAAAGAGCCACCAAATTTGCGATTCAAAAAAGGGTTCAATATGTTTCGTCAATCAGCTGCTTCAACATCCTGTTTCTTTTACCACAGATTCTACGAAGTTTTAAACCTATGGCATACTCAAAAGACATTTTTTGTTCTAGGCTATGCTCTCGAAATTTTCGGCTTGCATTGCACATTTAGCTTTATTGCTATTATGTTCCATATTTATTGTTGTTTTGAACTTATATGGCTCAAAATGGAATACTGGTAGAGAAAACATCCGTTTCCCTTTTTTCGAGTGGACCAACGCCGATCATCAACGTTTAAGAAAGCAAGAGTGCATAAAACACGCCGAAATAAGCAGTTTAATATGGACTTACGATGGTACTGGAATAATGAAATACATTCAGTGGGTGTCGACCAGAAAAATGGGAAATATCAGGATTAACCGATTGGACAATGATTGTAACATCATTCAGGAGGACTGTTTCATTTCAGATCAGCAAACTGCCGTAGTTATCCAGGTATTCTTAATTTCTCTCACAATAAACTTAAATAATAATTCAAAGTGCTCAACGAAAATTATTAAAATAGTAAATACGGATACAGGACGCCTTCAACACGTTTATTTTAAGAGAAGATCCATTAAAGCAACAGTTTTCTATCATCTATTGGATAGAATTAGAAACTATAATAGTTCTATAATCAGTTTATATGCCCGATTGAAAGAAACCAACGAGAAAACTGCTTACATCACAGAGTCTTTTCCAAGATATTTCATGGATAATGTGAATATCAAATGGACAATAGTGAATTCGGAAGACTTAGTTCAGTCAAGTTTGGTCGACTGTGAAAGGATGTTAACAAATTTCCTTGCATTATTAGGATTTAAGACCTCAGCATCAAAGTTGAGAAATATTATTCAATACGACTCTCATCAGTTCATCAATGAATCTGTTTGGTGGGATCAGTCTGAGATCGCTGATAACATCTTATCGATGTCGGTTCCATCTCGTTCACCGGCATCTATATACTCTAACGATTTTTATTTCTTATATGGAAATCAATCATTTTTACAATACTTGTCTGATAATCGCCAATGTTACAACCAAGGAACATTTCCCCAATTACAATCTGAAACACTTTCAAATCGTTTTTCCAGTGATAAACCGGAAAGATGCTCGCTAAAACCGTTTGACTGTGCTTTTGGTGATTTGTATTCTTTTGAAGATCGAGATCAAATGTATCGGCAGCCCAACGTTCTGAAATATTTTGACCGAAAAACCACTTAAATGTGGCTTTGCCATTCCATCAATATTCGATTCAGTCAGATATAAGTATGGTCGCAACCAAACATGCCAAACCGTAGTTTTCACGGTTGTTACAAACTGCTACGATCCTTTGCCTGAAGTAAAAGGTCCAATACTACCCTCGTTTTGCTTTATTGCCTTACTAGACACACAGACTCTTAAAGCCTATAGAAAATTTTATTCTAAAAAGAAACCATCAACCAGCTATGATGTTAAATGGGATTTAATCGATTTAGGAGCTAATGCATCACCCTTCCTTGCTTCTGCTAAATCAACAGAAACACTTAAAATCGTTGGACCGCGAATGTTTCCCATGGCTAAATGGATTATTTGGCTTGATGGTAAGGCACATCTTCAGAATATTAGTGATATATTATTACGAGCACAATCTCCGATGATTATACCGTCTCATCATGATACAAAACGTACATCGGCATCTGAAGTGGGGCCCACCATTAGACGGTTGAAATCGAGAGGAAAGTCGTCGGCTCAACAACTGAAAATTAGTATAGCAGAAATTCTACTTCAGCAAGCAGAATATAGGCACGATGGATTCTATGCTCGTTCTGATACATTGGGATTGAAAATGGTTGATATAGCAATACTTGTGTACAAAAATAATCATCCATGCGTAATTCGTTACGTATGCGGTTGGCATAACGAAATAAATTACTTTTCCTATAGAGGACAATTATCAGTTTACTATCCAGGTGTCAGATTAAATCTAACGCATTTGGTGCGCCCCTTACCAAAAAAGTTTTATTATACTAAGAGTCATAAAGCTGTGTGCTAGACATAATATATCGGTTTGAATGTGTTTCTCGATCTATCAAAGTTTTTTCTAGCAAATAAAGCTAACGAATCATGGTTGGGGGGAGCAAAGTTGGTAATGCACCATGGGTATACCTCTTCATTGGTCTAGACTAGCACGGTACTCTATCATTGATGTATGAGTTAAATTTCAACTGGTAATTGAATGTAGGACATTAAAACAATCCGCAGAATAATAAACGGAAAAAAAGTTTTTGATAGGGTATTTAACATAAAAAAAAGGGTTTATGATACGTTGCACTTTCATAAACCCTTTTTTTTACAGCGTATGTTTTCAGTAGTCATTCATTACTGCTCCCGAAAACAGCTTGCTAGCGCAGACCTTTTGGGGCTAAAATGTGGAGCTCACATATGAATTTTCGCCTAATTCTACTAATACACAATATGTAAAGGTATCTAGAGACTTCATACATCATAATACAGACCGTGAGAGAGAAGTTCCACGGACCATTAGAAACAGTGGTAGACGGATTCCAGAAAAGGAGCTTCATCGTGTTTCACATTTTAATACCACAGGGATCGCGCTAACAGCTTTTTATATGCTTGCTAATGTCTATAATGCGGAGGGGAAGTCAGAAAAAAACTCGCCTTTGACTTATACTCACTGTTTTCTTCGAAAATAAATGTGAGGTTCACAAAATAATCTATCGGCTTGTCCAAGTGTAATGCTGTAACATTTGACAAATTGTTTTGCAGTTATCTCGAAACGCACATGAGCTAATAAGGTCTTTCTAACATCATTCGACGCAGCTTGTCATAATCTTTTCATGTTCCAAGAATGATCTATTTTGATTGAACTCTCACGCTTCTTCAAAAGGTTTTATCATCGCGTAACGCTGTGACAAAAAAATAATCCTTTTTCTTTAGCTTTTAGCAAAGTATTTCGTCAAATGAAAAGCTTATGGTGCCAATTTGATAGAGAATTGAATGGAATTTCAAGCAGTAAAAATACCTTTTCTAAACTATTTTTGCTCTGCTGAAAAATGTAAAGCAAATGTAACGCTTTGACACGTTTTTTTGTCGGTCAAATTTGAAGCACTTAAGTGAGAGTCCGTGGAGCCACTTAGCAACTTGGCCGCCGGTAAAATATTGATTTTCGATTTAACTATTTTAAATAAAAGGTCTAGTCATACCATAAGTGAATCCAAAATATCAGACCTTTCTGACGTGCCTGCGAAAAATGCCAGCGTTTGTAAGTTATACACCATTTACATTTGGTCAAAAAGTGAAGTTTTTAGGGTGTCCTTAGTATTTTATATTTTTCTCTGCGTCTGCTCATTTGTTGGGCTTCGGAAATGTCTTAAAAGATGTAGAAATGTTTCCTCTACAATACGTAGCGATTGATTTATTTATTCAGCGCCATATATCAGTAGATAATACCAATATACAGACAAAACTTCTGATTGGTTAAAATGAAGACTTTTCAGTATTTAGACGATAACCATGCCTGATCGTGACATCCCAAATTAGTTCACATATTTTCTGAAAGCCCTTGAAATTCTGCATCTCCTGAGGCACTACTTATTCAGATAAAAGTTGAGCGAAAATAGTTCATCTACACCACAAATGCTGGCATTGAATATTTTTCTGTATTCAATAGGATCCTTGATTAGTTGACTATATTTTATATGATTGCTCGAATCAAAAATATGATTTCAGATTCGTGATCAACACAAAAAGTTGACCATAAAAGGATCATTTGATTAAATGCAAAGTTATCTATGCTAAAAAATGCCTACAGCGTAACAATAATTTGAAGAATTTTTTGGAGTACTCTCTGGTATGCCTATTTAATCATTAAGTCAGAGATCTAGAAATAAGAATTTTGCTTTATTTAGAATCTCTGAACTCTTAGCTTCAAAATCTGCTGTTTACTTTTCTCGATTCACGCTGTATCGTTGAGAAAATTGAACTTTTGTTGGTGCTGTCGAAAATCGATATAAATGTGTTAAAATTGCTATGATTTATCGGTGCTTTTATCATCACAGGTTGTCCTGATAACAAAATGATATACATATTTAGAATCAGCGTATGGAACTACGTATGGTCGAGTAGTTTTTAGAACAACAAAATTTCTTCAGAAAACGACCATGAGGCCCCCCTCTAGGCTTTTTTTTTAAATTTTGCCTGTACTCCTAGGGGTGGGCCGTTAATGTTAATTGGAGTTAATTAAGAGATTTTGTTAAGCGATTTTACTTAACACTTAATATTAATAAAAAAATGTTTGCATTAACCACTTAATTACTTAATATTAAGTGTTAACGTAACACTTTAATTGTTAATATTAGGTATTAAGCTTTTCACGTTAACACTTAATTCACTTAAAATTAAGTGATAAAATGTTTCATCTGCAGAAAACATGAATTTCTTTTGATTGTATTTTACAGAAACGCTGTTTTTTGAAAATACCTATTTCTTAGAACTTCGAATAGCAAGTTTTGGAGGTCAAGGAATCTGAATTTACAATTGGTTTCTTATAATTTCTCAACTGACTTCATCATCATAAAACGACCATTTTATGAACATGACTGAGTTCTATAAACTTACACTGATGTTTTCAGATGCCGGTCGGAACATTAAACTGCTTGTAAGGGTTATAAGTAGATCTTTGGCATCCTGGTGAGTCGGTAAAATCAACATAGCACAAATTTTATATACGTAATCTGTTTATAAAAGATAGTCTTCGAGTAAAAATTGACTAATGCGAGCACAGAATAAAAGCTTAGGAGAATGTGATGTGTGAGTCAAGAGAAAAGCATGCCTGAAACAGCAATATTGACAAAAATCCTAACTCACTTTTATTGGAATTCATCATATAGAAATGGTATGTGTGAATCCTCCCCTGACTCATCTGTATAGCAAAGACGAATATGGTGTGATTCAGATGAGTCAAAGTGCTGTTGATTTGAATCATTTTTCGCAACATTTTTTATTTGAATATCTTGTCGTATAGAGAAACTGATGCAATCTGTATGAATTTACCAGTTAGAAATGTCAGCTTTGATATTCACTCTTTAAGCCTAGTGTTCAAAAGTTGTCTAATCGATGTAACAGCCTTGTTTCCACTGTAGGGAAAATACGCTTTCTTTTGCTAAATGAGACCGATTGATGTATTCGATTGAATGAATAAATAATATCAGTAAAATCGAACGATTTACATGATTAAAATAAAGAAAATATACTTTTGTAACAGTTAATTTCGTTCTATTGAATTAAAGTTTTCTTCACTTGATTCATGTTTGGATAAATTCCTTTTCGCATTGTATTAAATTATGGTAATTCTCGATGAATTTTTACTACTGGTGACTTAGTCCTATGTCTTACATTATATCTCTTAGCTTTAGTTAAGTTTACAGAACATCTGATATATAATTCACAAGGCTGCAAAGAGTCATGCATCAAAATACCATCAGGGTAGTATTTTTTTTCCACACGAATTTGAGAGATTACGACTAACAAAACTTAAGAAAACGAGTGACCTTATAACTATGGCATACATTCTAAAAGAGAGATTTTACTTAAAATGATGTGCACATGTCAATTGTTTTTTTTCTAAAATTATTGAAAAATTGTTTAGCCATGTTTTAATGATGACTAACGTCAATATGATAATTGTCTATAATTTTTAACTCACATTGTCTCGCTTTGATTTGATCCTGTACAAAAGAATAATATTTTAAGTGTCTTTTTAACCCTAATCCATTCTCTCCTGACGACTCCCCGGGGAGTCTCCTCAAAAGAACGAGATCCCTACTCTGAAAGAAAAAAAGGAGTTTTACAGAACCATTTTAGGGGTTCTGGTGTCGGGTAAAACGCAAAACCCTCGAAAAAGATTCTGACTGAAAAAAGGTTCAGTAAAGAAGTAACGAAACCACATGTGATTTTTCTTCAAAAAAGGCTCTGCCCTACGTATAAGATGTTCCATGACTTAAATGGTTTACCGTTGGGATTTCCCTTATCTCTGTATCCATATTTCGATATTCTTATATCTATACCTTATATCTATACCCTTAAAGCTAGATCCTTATATTTAATGCCCATACAATTATATCCTTATTTGTATATTTCCTAAAAAAGTGTGTTTCCGGGAAAACTTTAGAGCCTTTCCGATTTTGTCACTATCTGAAAACCTTTCAGAGTTTCCGAATATTGGTGTTCAAAGTCTTCTGAACCAAAGCAAATAGTCACAGTACTTTCTCACAAAGCAATATCAGACTCTGCAAAAAGGTTTCAAAGCTCACCAACCTGGGAATGCAATGAAGGATCTGAAAAATATCGGCAGTCACACAGATGACGAACCCATATCGCCTATCAGAAAAACATCAAAATGACACATCGTTGTTTCTCGAATACTGATATGTAACTTAGCCATTGGCTGAGATCCATTTGAGGAATCTAAAAGAAAGGAAAAATTAATATTAGGTTTTTGATTCTTTAATGTAACTCACCCTTTGAATAAAATTCATTCCAAGAACCCAAAAGAGGAAAAGAATCGATATTTCTATATAACGTTCTTATTCTTAAATGAAGCTTATTATTTGAATAAAATCTATTTGAAGAATCTAAAACAAACAATAAAAGCGTAATATAATTTTCTAATTCTTGCCTGTAACTTACTGATTGGACAAAATATATTGAAAGAATCTAAAAGAAAAAGAAATGTTGATATTAGGTTTGTATTCTGAAATGAAACTTACCGTTTGGATGCAATCTATTTGAAGAATTTCAAAAAAAGAGAAATTGCTATAGGCTTTTTTATTGTTCTATCGTGTGATTTTAAGGAAAAATCAGTTATAATGATCATCTGAAACCAGAAGTTTGTGGTGTTCTCAATCACTACAACCCTTAAAAATTATTATGACTATTTTTAGTCGTTTTTTCTTGAAATTTAATGAAACAAGTTAGCTTTAGAGAGTAGCCTTATAGCTACGTCTTTATTTCTCTGGTCTTAATACTGCATCTTATAGCTATACCTCGTCATTCATGCCTTGATATCAACACCATTACAATTCTTTTATTTTCAGCATGCCTTTACGATTGCATTCTTATATCTTGACCGTTTTATTTATATCATTATACTAGTAACCTTATATGGATTTCCTTATTACTATACGATTATTTGTGTATTCGTGAAAGTATATGCTTAGGACTTCATCCTTGGATTCATATGGATTGCATTAAATCCTCTATCTTATTTGTAAGATGTGAATTTCAACGACATGTGTGCACATCAATTGCGTATGATATGACTGAATAACTTCATACTGTTACATGTTTAATTGAATGGTTTCTTTTGTTGACGTTAACGAATGTTTTAGAACAAACACGATAGACAACAATAATATGATAATAAATCGTATATAGCCGACGCACGCGATACTTAAAAATATTATTGGAGCTCCATTAGAGTCGTCGAATTGTGAGAATAGCCGTAATTTATCTCAAAGCAGTTGGATTACTAAACATGGATGGTAGCATTATTTGCCTTTATAGTTATTTACCAGGTTTAGCATATATTATCTAGGCGTTGAGGAAACTATGCCCATGTCGCCTCTTTTTTACCAACTGCGCCGCAGTTACGCGCAGAGCCAATTTTACGTCGTAGTTACGTGTAAATACGGCGCATTGATCGTAGTGAAGACTTTTCCTAAATACTACACCTAATGCGACCCAGATCAGCGTAACTGCGTTCTAGTGATCGTATCATACGATCCGTTGTAACTGTAACTGTCCAATTATAAATAATTCCTTCTCATTTGTAATTGGCCACTCTCGAACACTAAAAATTAGTCATAGAAAGTTACTATAAAAAGCACTACTGTTCATCGAAAGTTCGGTTCATAAACACATTCTATTATAAACAGTAGAATACATGTTCCGAAAAATATTTAAATATTTTTCTCACGTAAGTTTTATTAATATTTTTTTTTTATTTTTCAATTTAAAAAGTTTTTAAAACATTTCTGGAGCTTCTTTTTAGGTTTCTATTTTTTAAATTTTTCTAATCTAAGTTTTTTTCTTTTGTTTATTAAATTGTAAATAATTTTTTGAATGTTAATTTTTTGATTTTTACAGATACCTATTTATTATTTTCCTTAATTATTTTATATTTTAAATACTTTTTAACTTTTAATTTTTTAGTAATTTTTTTATAAAAGTTTTAATTTTATAGTTTTAAGTTTTTTATTTTCTGTGCTTAAAAATTTTTCTTTTAACTCACAATAAAAATAAGAATGAAAATAAAACCACCTAATCTGTATCATCTCATGTAGCAATCGCGGTGCATTTCTGCCGCAAAAATGATCGCGCTCTGGCCCGTAATTGCAAAAAAATGCGACTCAGCTACGCGTAACTATGTCGTAATTTTCCGCAATTACGGGTCACAGTGCGATCACAGTTACGCCGTAACTACGCCGCAGTTTCATCTTAATGAAACATGTGGGTGGTGATTTGTTTCAATCTTTTTCCGGGAATGGCAAACAGGTGGAAATGTAAAAACAGAAGTAAAATTACTTGAGAAGAAAAGAAAATTCACCCCATCTCAACGGTTTAAGTGCAAAAAGCATTCTCGAGCAATGAAAAACTCGAACATTAGAGCACAATAACGTATCATGGAGTAAAAGAAAGAAGAAAGTATGCAATAAAACAGTTCTACTGAGTGTACCTTAAATTACATTTGAAAAAATATTTTCTGCCGACATTTTGATAAAAGACTTCATAATAAATATATCTTGCATTATACTTTGTCTCTCAAAGCCTTTCATGGCAGTACGTTTGAACTGTGAAACCCTAAATTGAGCAGAAACGATAAAATATTTTACACGTCAGTATTTTTGGGTAGAGAACTTGTTTTTTAGAATAGATCATTTTTTGACAGAACCTTTCAAGGTTCAGTCTAATTGTACAAAACTTCTTCGGTGTAGCATTGCAGAAGCAGAACCTTTTATGGTTCAACAATTTTCTGCTGAACCTTAAACGGTTCAGTATCATGGGACAGAACCTGTCGGGTTCCGTACTTTTGACCAGAGAACATTTTATGGTTAGGTAATTTTTCACAGAATCTTAATAGGCTCAGTGTCCTTGTGCAGAACCATTTCGGTTCAATATTCTTCAACACAGAACTTTTTATGGTTTTGAATCTTTTCCCGAAACCTTCAAAAGTTCAGTACTGTTGGACAGAACTATTGATAGTTTCGTACTGTCACACAGAACTTGAAATGGTTCTGCAGAACTCCTTTTTTTCTTTCAGAGTAGCCCGCCCCCACTTACGCCGCTACTCGTCAAGTTTGCTATTTCAGATGAAAGCGCAAAAACTAATGAACAATCAAACATGAAACCTTTTATTTAATCCAATTCTTTTGCTTACACACTGTTTTTTGTAATGTATTCCATAAAATAAATTCATTTTATTCATCATTCTACATACAGAAAATAATTGGAATCTCTAATTTTATGAATTGTTTCGTTTTTTTTTTATTCGATTCACTGATGTAAAAATACGATAGGCCTTAAAATGTTCATAGAAAAATCTTTATTTTTAAAGCACATACAGTGTAAATGATAGTGGGAAATAATACCAATGATTCTCTCGTACGTACTAACTCCACGCAAAACTAAAAGAGAAGCAAGTTCTGATAATAGCGCCCTCTTTCTCGAAGAATTTGATTGGTTAAAACCCTCTAGTGAATATGAATCTCTTATGTATGTACGTGTATATATATATAAAAACGAATAACAAGAGGCCTGAAAGAAAAGTAGAGTATAATTCCATTCTACTTTCTTGATTTACAATTCGGCTATGAGTAAATTCGAGCAAAGAAAACGATATCGAAAAAATAGTAGTTCAAATTCTGAAGATGATGCATTGGGTTCAAAGAGTAAGGGGATTATTTTCTTTGTATATTTTCACTGCATTTGTTTATAGAAATTCATGTCGATGGTTACGATGACAAATATTTTGGTGATGCTGATGATCGAGCATGGTTAAAAACTTTATCTGAACGTGAACGAGAAGCCGAATTGTTAAAACGACATGAACAACGTGAAATGTTAAAACATCGGTACAAGACAATGATTTTTCTTACTCGTAGACATATATATAAATATTTCATTTTTCTAGTGAAGAGATCAGTAAAAAATTAAAATCGAAAAAAATCGATCATGACGATACTGATAATGAAACAAAGCCTAAATCGAATTCATTCGATCAGAATATTTATGCTGAAGACGAAGATGAAGATTATTCATCAGCCAATCGTCGAAAACAAGTTAATGCATCAAAACAACAAGAAACACAACATAGTAAAACGCTGAAAGCTTTAATGGAAGAACGAAAGAAGAAACTTGGTAATATGAACATTTAATAAAACTTATTAGCTTACATCCTTCTATATCGTAGATGTAAAAGTTAAAAAATCTCTACCGAAACCCGTTGATTTTTCATCAAGTGATGATGAAGTAACAGAAAAAAAAACTAAACCGCGTAGAGAAGAAAAATTGAATGTATCTGATGTTTTTACATCATCGAGTTCCGATGATGATTCTCATCATCGTCGACGATCTCGGTAGGCAACAAAAAAAACCCACCTATATAATTCTTTGAGTTAAACTTTAGATCTCCGAATGCTGAAAAAACAGATGCCGACAAGCAAGAAACTAAACGCAAAAGATGTACATTCATAACAAAAAAATCTCAATTGAAACCCATAATTCTATCTCGTTTTCGAATGGAAAAGTAAAACTATTTTTTTCATTATTTCGAAAATAATAAATTTTAATGCAGATGGTGTCATGCCCCATTTTTTAATCAAGTAGTAAAAGGTGCTTTTGTCCGAATTAATATTGGACAAAATAATGGTGTAACTATTTATCGTGTAAGATTAGATGAAAATTTTGTTGTGTTCTAATGTTGTTTACCGATTTTAAGGTTTGTGAAATACTTGGTGTTGTTGAAACAAGTAAAATCTATAATCTTGGTACAACACGTACAAATAAAGGACTTCGTTTAAAGTATAGGAAAACCAAATTTTTACAGATTTTATAATTTATTCTTTTCGCTTAGATATGGCCGTAACGAACGAATGTTTCGTCTTGAATTTGTTTCAAACAGTGAAATATCCGATACGGAATTTACACATTGGCGTGAAACATTAATAAAATATGTAATAGAAAAATCGAACTATGTGTCAAAACGAGAAAAAAGCTTTTCATTTAGAATGTTTCATTACCAACGTTAGAACAAGTTGAAAATAAGAAGAAAAAAATCGACCAATACAAAGATTATGCCTATAGTAATAATGAAATATCAAAAATTGTTGAAGAAAAACAACGTTTCCGAAAAACACCTATTAATTATGCAATGACAAAACAAGAATTATTCAAAGATATCGTAAGGAAATAACTTTTTTTATGATTAAAAATATATTTCGAAGTTAATTTAGGAAATAGCGAAAGATGAAAATAATATCAAAAAAGAAAAGGAATTAAGAAAAAAATTGGATGAAATGGAAGAACGTGCTTCAGAAATCGATCGAATACGAACGGCTAATAATTCGATCTTAGAGTAAGCTTCAATATTTGTTTTCTATCAAATAAATTTTATGAGATGTTAAACAGAGTTATCAATCGGCGAAATCGAAAACGTACACAGCACAACGTAGAAAATGCTTTAGTTGTAAATAAATACATGTTTAAAGCGATTATGAAAATCTTCAGATTAATATTATTCTATAGCGTGAAGCTCAAGAACATCGAAATGTAACAGCTGATCCATTTACACGCCGTCGATGTGCACCCACACTTGTCTCAAAAGTTTCTATTAATATCACAAGAGAAAAATTCATTGAATCAGCTGTTTTGTATATATATATATATAGGCTACAGTGACAAAAGAAGAAATAATTCGACAATTACATTTGCAACGTGTAGCTGATGAAGAAAATGCGATGAAAAAAAAACTTGAAGAACGACGCTTATTAGTAAGAACAATTTCCGCACGAGGCGTATCTTTATATTTTCTTTAAAGGACGAGAAAAACAAAGTTAAACAGACCATGATTACAACAAGTGATATATCCAGCAGTAAACAAATTGTAAATTATATGAATTTGCAAGACATTTTCATCTATATTGAGCACTGTATTATTATTTTAGAACGAAGAAAAAATTCTTCCAGCCATAACGACTCGTGAACGCGGCTCATTTACATCAATTTCTGAAAGACATGATGAACTATTTGCATCACACGATTTTGAACTTGATGTTCCGATAAAAATTCTGCCCGATTTTATTTAATGATTTCTCTTTTTAATTTATAATTATCAATGATAAACATGAATATTTTTTATTTCAGATAAATCATTTGTTTGTTTTATTTTATGGAATATTCAACGCATGTATTTATTCAACAACCACCTACTACTGAACAAAATTTTGAATCGAAGTAAAATTTTTAGTCTTTCTCGTTTTTGTTTTCGCTAAAGATTTTTGTTTTGTCTCGATAGACTTCAAGATGTATCAGATCAAATAACAACAAATGGTTGCATATGTCCAAATGTATTTGCTCCATTTACAAATCTTGCTGTACAACAAGCAGTCGTGTCTTCGAGACATATTGCCTTTTTACTTCAAGTAAAGAATTTGAAGGCATTCGAGAGACTTACGAGAATATTTTGAATTTAGGATGGACGAATATGTCGAATATCGTTTCGTATTCAAGCGGATAAAATTGAACCAAATTCAACAGAAGCAACGAAAACTAAGCCTAAACAAGTGCCGTCTCAAATAGCTCGTCCTCAATCACGTCAATCGATTCATCGCTTAAATAATTTTGATCGGCCAACTTTTGAAAATCTTGTTTTATCATCATCAGGCTCATCAATTGCTCCTATAACGAATACCAATGGGCAACTTGATTTATTACCACAATTACAAGCTGGTTATCCATTGAATCGACGACATCATTTAATTCGTACAGCACGTGGACGAACTGGAATTATATTTGGTTCACGGCCATTAATTCCAGCATCGAGCGTACCCGAAGAATTAATTGAACAAGTAAAAAAAATTCGATAACGAAAAGATGTTTCTAAAGAATTTAATTTTTGTTCTAGGTTCAAGTTGTTCTTCAAGGAAAATCTCGAAATACTATTCTACGAGAATTACAAAGAACAGTAAGTAGAATTCGAAAGGCAAAACTATTTACTAAACTATCTTTATCAATAGAGTTTAGATGTTAATATGGCTGTAAATAATTTACTTGCACGTGATAACGAAGGTGATGAAGATTTCGATGATGATTATGTTGGAGGTAACCGTAGTTTCGTGTGTTTTGTTTTTTCTATGAATAAATATTCTATTTTTATTTAGCTGATCTCATCTCTTTACTTGATGTTAATCCACATAATGAACATCCTGGGCTTATACTCGAATCAGAGTTCTTCGATGAACCTGAGTTCGCTCTACGCTATAGTAGTATTCAACGTAGAGTGGTTTCAGCAAGACTAGCTAATGCTGGTAAGTATTGAGAGAAGTTTGAACAAAGAGAAAAGTCCTTATTGTATTCTAGTAAACAATACATCAACGTCACCATCATCTACACTAAATCCTTCGCTTCCTGATTCATCAACAACAAATGCAAATCCATCTGCGATCATCACATCTTCGACAACATCGAATGATCGTGATCGTAAACGAAGTCGCTATGATCCACGCTGGCTTGATGGTTCTCTCCGAGAGGAATTATTTGGTCGTATCGATCGTGAATTAAAACCCGATGATCTATCCATAGTTAAAGATTCGAATACTAAAACGAATTCATCTATTCGTAAAGAACACTCCCATCATTATCAACATCAGCATTCAGCGCCGGCAGCTATATTAACTTCTACATCATCATCGTCACCACAAAATGCAATTTTATTCGGTGATCAATTACAATTTTGGACGGATGCCAATTGTGATAATATCTATCCACGTTTTACACATATAGCTTGTCTCTATTCAGAATTAATTGCTATAAATACCAATGGACAATTGTGTCAGTGGAATTGGCATGATGATTATCCATATCAAGATTCTGATAATTCACAAATCAGACATCCAAAAACGTTAATCTTACAATTATTCAATGAAAAAATTATTAATCTATCTGCCAATCTTATCCGTGCAACTATATTAACCGAAACAAATCGTATAGCAACGTGGATTGATGAATCGTTAGGTTCACAAATAAATCTTAAATTTCAACATTCATTACAGGAATTTTCATCGGCACGTATTATCGATATACAAACATCATCATTGTATACCATATTTCGAACTGAAACAAATGATTTATATTGGTATGGTTTATTGCCACATAAACCACGTAGGAAATTACTTGAACGTTTAAAAGATAAAACTCGTCATAAGAATCGAACCAATAATCAACAACAAATCATAGCAGTTGGCTGTTTAGTTTGTTTAATATCGAATCCATATTATAATCAAGGTGCGTGGGCTTTTTATGTACGCGATGGACAACCAAAACTGGGGCAACTAATGGAACAAGCATGGATCCTATCGAATACAGCACGTTTTCGTATAAAAACATTTGAATTAATACCAAATAAAATAAAAGATGATGATAAAAGTTCACTGGAAATGCCTCCACCACCATCACCTGCATCATCGACGTGCAGCGTAGATTCCAATACAAGTTTTGCATCGTCATTAAAACGGAAAAAACAACATACCAATTCATCGGCAGGTGCAAATCCATTTTTAGCAGCAAACACTGATAGCGACTCCAATGAACAACAACAGCAACATAGTAAAATAAAAGACGAAGAATATTGGCCATTAGATGAAGTTGTGTTTATCGAAGATTGCCGAGTTGCACCCATAGGAAAAGTTATGAAAATTGATGGATCACTTGTACTAGTGAAATTTCCATCGAAAAATAACAATGATACAACTGATCCAAATATTGAGGCAAACAATTTGGAAAATTGTCGCATCCTTCGAAAAGACGATCTTCTAGTAGGTTGATTTTAATATTTGGATGAACTCAAAAAACATCATAATTTTTTTCCTTTTAGGTCGTGAAAGGTAATCAAGCACCAAAAACTCCCGATTGCACATTATCACTGCCGAATTCCAAGAGAATTTCCTTAGAAAACGGAACTCTATTAACGTTCTCAGTCGATAAAGATTGTAAGTAAATATTATCTTGTACAACCTCTCAACTGTCTATGTTCCACTGTAGATCTTCATACATTACAATTACGCGATACAACGATTTACTATATAATGTATGAAGTTGGAAGTAACAATGGTTTATGTCGTGCTGTTCGACAAAATAGTTTACCTCTAATTAATAACCGTCAATCGTTGTTGTCGTTTATTGGTGAAAATAAAAATCTCCTACGTTTACATACATTAAATTCTCTTGATATTCCGCCACGCGTATTAATTGATAGTAATCGTTTAATTTATTCATTAATTTACAATCAAGAAAATTCGAATATAAAAGATCCTCAATGGAAAAATTTATTAGCGATAAATTATTTTTCTCAAGGAATAATTCCAATAAAAAATATTGACCAAGCCAATAAAAATCCTATTATATTAAGTATAATGCAAATACAAAAAGGAATTTTAATTCCACATATACTTCGCTATGATATTGATAAAATACGTTCAATATTAAATGAAATTGAACTCAATCGAAATCAAGATTTATTAAAATTAATCTTAGACGAGCATATCGATGGTTTTCGAAATCTCTTTCATGCTTGTGTTCATATTGCAATACCATCAACAAACAAAGAATATCTTATTACGGATGAGCAAATACAAAATGAAACCAACAATTCTAATAATCTTAAACGTATTTCATTTGCCATCGACTTTCTTCATTCACAATCGACCCCCGATCATAATGATGCCAATGCAACACGAATGAATAATTCATCGAATGTACCTGAACAACAGATTACCTCATGGCCACCAGTATCTTCATCAAATGAATCTACAGATGCACCGCCACCACCATCATCATCTCCAAGGCGATCACCCCATTTTTCTAGAGTAAGAATTTCGTATAGATACGATTGTTTCTACTTCTTTCTTATTGAAATTATATTCTCAATTTCAGAGTGCATCAACTACTGGAGCAGCAGCAGCAGCAGCAACAACAACAACAACGACAAATGCTGGTTCATTATCTCCATCGTATACATCAACATCATTATCATCAAAAATACAATATCTTCAAAGTCAAGTAATTCAACAACAAGCGAATCAGCCAACGGCACCACCGAATTATCCAGGTGGATCAATAGCTGGTTCAGTACGTTCGGTACGTCCGAATGCAAATGAATTTATGGTTTGGTCATCATGTAAATATGATGAACGTGAAAAACGTTTACGTGCAATAAAAATTCTTCGTCTTCTTATCGATTGCCCATTGTTGCAAGAACATCTTCTATCGCTGCTCAGTTTTCGTAATTTCGAAGGACAAACGCCATTTATGCTTGCTATTCAATCACGTGCCTATCAGAGTGCCTCAATTCTATTTGAATATGCTGTTAAAATAGCAAAACGTGAATCATCCGAAGAACAATCGTCAACTATACAATTTTTTCTTGAATCATCAACAATAGAAATTCCGAAATTATCTTATAGAAGTCTTCTGCTACAAATGATCTATCCATTAGCATCGAATAATTCAGACAATTCACCGCTATATACATTATGTACGAATGATACATGTTCGTTTACATGGACAGGCGAAGAACATATAAGTCAAGCGATATTCGAATGTAAAACATGTGGTCTTTCAGGCACGTTATGTTGTTGTAGTGAATGTGCGCAAACATGTCATAAAGGACATGATTGCCGTTTGAAACGTACATCACCAACGGCCTATTGTGACTGTTGGGAAGTATGTAAATGTAAATCATTAATAGCCGGTGATCAACAAAAACGTTTTGAATTATTAAAATTATTATTGAATGAAACAAATCTTGTCGAAATTAAAAATTCGCGTTATGAAAATCTGCTATTATATTTAGTACAAACCGTAGGCAGACAAATGGTTGAGCAACAACAATTTGTTCGAACAGCCACCAATGCTATTTTACAGCAGCAAGCGAGGAAAACACGCGAACAACTATTAAATAGTGCATCGATTATAACCGGATCGAGTGCCCTATCGAAAAAATTACAAAATCAAATTGCGTCATCAGGAATAATCAATACGAATGCATCGAATCCTCTGGATATAGAATCAACGACTCAAACAAATAACATTCCTGATCATCATTTAGAACCACCGCAATTTTGTAAGTTTTGTTTTTGTAAATTTTCAATCCATCGAGAACTTAAATCAATAAATTTTTTGTTTAGGTCGTCGTGCTCTTGAGTTTATTCTTACGGATTGGTCGAGTGTTAAATCCATGTTGCTATGTGGTTGTCCCGATGATATTGATCCAACTACAATAAAAACAAATCAAACATATTCTCCGACATCTCAAGGCCCACCAGCAATGTCCGCTTATAATAATGAAAATATATTTTCCCTAGATGAACAACAACAAACAAGTCAATTAGATCGTTTTACTTATCTTCTACTTGTCAAATGTAATACAATCAAACAAACGAATTCAACCACATCAAAAACTTCGACAACCAATGATCTTCTTGATATATTGTTAAATACTTTGTTACGTGAAATGACAAATCCAATCAATCGTGACATGGCTCGTTATGTTGCAGCACGTTTTGTACGCAGTGTTATTCGTTTATTTATTATATTGAGCCTTCAAATCCTATCCGAGAAAACTTCGACAACGAATTCAACAGTAAAACGTCATATGACAAATACAAATCTTTCGTCATCATCGATATTATCCGGTTCACAAACAATTCTCTTACAATGTAAACGTGTTTTTCAAACATTAACTCTAATTTCTGTCCATGCACTTGCTCATACGGCTGATCTATTAATTTCACCTGTTCGCCATGGGATAGTTAAACCCATAGCTATGTTTAATCTTCTATCGACACATACGGATATATTACAAAGTCTCGATGAAATATTTAATATTGATTCTGAATATTATCGTGCCTATCATCGTTTTCCGACGGCTACAAATGAAGATTTAAATGATACGAATACTGATAATACAAATATTGATCTAACTGAAGACGACGATAATAATTCCGATACACAATCTCAACATGAAATCAACAATCCGACAACAACTAATATGAATATCAATGAACGACAAAGTCGAGTACCCGAAAATCTTGCATCGAGTTTAAGCGACAATGAAAGTGAAATGGAATTAGAATTACTTGCCGAATCCGATACAGACAATGAAAGTAATCATAGTGCACCGAATACAAATACACATCGAACTTCGGCAACGGCTGGAAGTGAAAATATGGCTCTGTTTTCTGACGACGAAAATTCTGACTCGGACGATGCTGATAGCGTTCGAAGTGATAGTGTTCTAGGTGAAGGTGATGAAACAAGTCAACATGAACCAATGTTATTTGATGATGCTCGAGATGCTCTAGCGGTTGCTGCAGCAACTACGAGCGGAGCGACAACGACCAATGATCGACTAGTTTCAGTACCACCTGTAGGAAATATTCCAGCAGGATCAAATGTTCAAACAGCGAATTCAACAACGAACCATTTAAATGTACAACGATTATCAAATAGAGCTGCAATCACTGGTTCGATATTTGGTGATAACAATCCATCTCGGCGACAAATGAATCCTATGACAACTAGTTCTTCATCGGCGAATTTAACTAATCCAGCATCCTCTCAACAATTATCACAACCAGCCGCCACTAGTATGTCTGTGAATACAACGAATTCTTTATTAGCCAGAGCATTTGGTATTCTTATTCGGCAAATAACTGATTTACTTGTTCGATTGCCAACGACATTATCCGCTTCATCATTATATCACGACGTATTATCAACTGCAACAACGATCGACGAGCAAAATACTGTTAATACAATACAAGTAAATATCTTTAAAACTAGACCTATTTGAAATATTGTTGTTGTTGTTTTTTTATTTCAGAAAGAAATTGAACAATGTTTATTACCAACTTGGCAATGGTTTGCAACCATACTCGATTCATTCGAATCTCAAGTACGTTTCGGTATGACATTAAGTAATCTAGTGCATAATGAAGCCGATACAACATTACATGGAAATCGTTTTCTTAAAAATCTTATTGAACGTACACAAATTGAAATCAAGAAAAAATCAACAACAAATCGAATAACGAATACATCAACAAATAGTAAATATTTGTTTTTCGATAAATAGAAAATTTAATTTTTTTTCGACTTTTTTAGCTTCAGAAAAACCAGCAAACAATCGTCTCGATTTTCTTAATTATTCATTATCATTAATGCGTTCCATACATGAACATGGCGATCAAGAGCCACCAATGGATGTTTTATCCTACAAACATTTTGCTTATTTATTAGACGCATTTATTTACTATTTTCGTGAAAATGGTTTAAACGAAATGAATAAATCAATAGTTTCTCGAAAAGAAACGAACGAAGAAACGTCAACCAACGAAGAACCTACTGATCCAAATAGAATAACATCGAATGATTCATTTTTTCATCGTTCATCATCAACGTTATGTCTGAGTTCATTAGGACCTGATCCATTTCAAATAACAATTGATGATTCGTTACCATTAGCATGTCGACCACAATTACTTCAACCGGTATGTCGCAAAGAAGATCTATTCGGGCGATTTCTTTATGATCAAACAGCAGCAAAATATTCACATTTACCAGCACAACTTAGTGTATCGAATCGAACACGCATGATACCGGATTTTTTACAGCCGAATTATTTAAATCTATTTAGTTCAACAATACGAGAAGGTAAAACAGACAAAACGAATACCAAAACACGAGATGATGATCGTAAGTTTAAATAGAATTGTAGTAATTGCTATTTGGTTTTTTTTTGCTTTCAGGTATGGCTGTAGATGTACTATTGGATTTAAGTTCCGGTCTTGGTTCATCGGATAAAAGTCGAACTAGACCATCAATAAACCATTCTATTCTTCTGAATGGTTCCTATGAATATCTGTTAGCACGATGGAGATTTTCAATAGAATTATTTGTAAAATTATTTTTGGACGATGTTGGTATAGAACCCGGCTCAATTATAAATGAATCCAGTGGATTTTCGGCTCGTGAACAACGTTTTCGTCATGATATGGAAAGAATTAAAAATACACATCAGAAAGATATTCGTTTCGAAGCGGTAATTATTCATTTACTGAGCCAAAAAAAAACACATTCTCTATTGCTTCTATTGATAATCCTATTTTAGATGGAACGTGATCGTATATTATTAATACAAAAAACATTTCGAACGCTCAATTCATATTTTTATCGCAATCAAAATATAAGTTCATCATTATCATCGGTACCACCATTAGCTGTACAACGTGTCAAAGTTACATTTAAAGATGAGCCTGGTGAAGGCAGTGGAGTAGCAAGAAGTTTTTATGCATCGATTGTTGAAGTAAGATAATATGAAAAGTCTAGAAAACGTTATTTTAACTCAATTATTTTTAGGCGATTCTATCTGAAGAAAAGTTTCCGATTCTTGAATTGAGTTCATATGGTGGGTCATCGACAGGTCAATCGCTATCTGGTGGCTTACCGTCTTCTCATGCGCATCATCAACGTTTATCTCGTGAACGGCGTACCGTATTGGCAACGTATTTACGCAGTGATCGACGTTCATCAGCGATGCTTCTTTCATCGGAAGCACGTCCGTTTCGATTAAATCTACCACCGTCAACAGAACCCACAATAACAAACAATCCTGAACCATTGATTATTGAACATTGGACACCCAGTAAAATAAAGCTAGGTTTGAATATCTATCCAAAAGTTGCCGCTCTTCAACCGTCGCATGCAGAAAAAATTACTGGAATGCTATTAGAAGGTTTACCAACACCGCAATTACAACGCATAATTAATGTTGAAGAAGATCTAAAAAGTAAAGTTGATGAAGCTATGACTATTTTAACAGCATTTAATGCACGTGAAACGCAACAAAATGATTTATCAACAACCAATGAACGGCTATTAAATAATAAAACTTTAACGTTCGATAAGCAATTAAATGATTATGCACCGCTATTTTGGCAACCAGAAAAAAGAGGTGTTTACGCGCCAAGACCAGGAAAATGTACTCCAGAACGTTTAATGGCTTATCGAAATGTTGGAAGGTAAGAGGATAAAAATGAATTAATCATTATGATGTTTTTTATTCTGATTTTAGATTAATTGGTTTATGTTTATTACAAAATGAACTTTTTCCATTGCCATTATGTCGTCATGTGATAAAATATATGCTGAATCGAACAATACGTTGGCATGATTTAGCTTTTTTTGATTCAACGATGTATGAAAATCTACGTCGAATGGCATTCGATGCAGAGAAAAATGAATCACAATATGTTACGGATTTACATTTAACATTTTCAATGACTGTTACAGAAAAAGAGGTTAGTAGAACTCTAAACGGGAGATAGGAGTAATCAGGTGATTGATAGCAATGCATAGGTGGAGGAACCTTCAGGGTGTTTAGACAAAACTAGATTTCATGTTGTTTGTAGATGGCGCTTTAACACCAATCGAAAACGTTCTGTTATCCTTTATTTTTGTATCTGACAATGTTTCGGGACAGACAGTTTCGGTTTACATCTGATTTATTAATTCTTCAATTGAAATTCTTTTTCTATTTGAACACAAAAAATAGGGTGGTGAAACTTATGATCTAATTACTGATGGTTCAACGAAAGATGTAACCTATTCTAATCTATATGAATTTATAAAACGTTATGCTGAATTTCGAATGGTTCATCTCGTCGAACAATCACTACAGGTAAATAGAAAAGTATAGAATTAAAATAGTTGATTCTTAATTTCTATTTTCAGCATTTACGTTTGGGCGTATTCGATGTGCTACCATCAACATCTCTTGATTATCTAAGTCCGGAAGATTTTCGTTTACTTCTCAATGGCACAAGTAATATAAATATAACAACACTGATGGCATATACAACATTTAATGATGAAAGTGGTATGTTAAATTAATTATTTTCGACGTTTCTTTAAGCTATTCTATTGATTGATTAGGAGAAACAACTGAACGTATAAATCAATTTAAAAAATGGTTCTGGTCTGTCCTGGAAAAATTCTCTCCTCTGGAAAGACAAGATCTAGTAAGAGTTAATAAATAAATTCTGCATGAGTCATTTTATTTTTTCTCTAATAAAATAGATCTATTTTTGGACGGGTAGTCCTGCATTACCAGCATCAGAAGCTGGTTTTCAGCCTCAACCATCTGTTACCATTCGACCAGCTGATGATCAACATTTACCAACAGCAAATACATGTATTAGTCGTTTATATGTTCCATTATATTCTTCAAAAACAATCTTAAAATTAAAATTACAGTATGCTATTAAAACAAAAATGTTTGGTTTTGTGTAATAAAAAAAAACAATTGAATAAATCTTTGGCAGTATTTTTTCCTCTGTAAATGCGCTCATCTGTCTTGTTTATATTTATTACCGTATGTGTGTTGTAAAACAAAACAATGAACATACATACATATGATGTTATTTCTTTTTTCTTTTCTTACATATGATTATGAAATTTGAAAAGTAAACTTTGTTTCAATTTGTAGAGATGTCAGGTTTAGATAAAATCAAACGAATTATTGTAGTTTTGTCAGGCAAAGGTGGCGTTGGTTAGTATTGACGATTTGAAGAAGAAAAAAATGTAATACTTTAAATTTCAGGTAAATCAACTGTAACAACACAAGTGGCTCTATCGCTGTATAATAGTGGCTATCGCGTTGGCTTACTTGATGTTGATCTGTGTGGACCGTCCATTCCAAAAATGTTTGGAGTTGATAAAAATTCCAAAGAAAGCGTTGTTTACGAAACTCCGGAGGGTAATTTTGTTTGTTTCTGAATAAGATGATTGCTTATGGATTCGTTTAGGTATGACGCCAGTCGATGTTTTTGCGACATCAAGTGATAGTTCAAGATTTAAATTAATGTCCATGGCATTGCTATTAGATAGTGAGAATGACGCAGTCATTTGGCGTGGACCCAGAAAAGTTGCTATGATTCAACGTTTGTTAACTGGTGTTAAATGGGGTGAACTTGACTATCTCATTATCGATACACCGCCGGGTACATCCGATGAACACATTGCAGTCATGACTGTTCTTAAACAACATGAACATGCAAAAGAATTTCTTCGTGCAATTCTTGTGACAACACCACAAATGTTATCGATCAACGATGTTCGACGTGAAATAACATTTTGCCACAAAACATCATTCCATATAATCGGTCTAATTGAAAATATGAGTGGCTATGTATGTCCGCATTGTAGTGAATGTACGAATATATTCGCTCAAGGTGGCGGAACTCTACTAGCCGAACAGTATTCAATTCCATTTTTAGGTAGATTACCGATTGATAATCGTCTGAATGCGATACTTGATCAAGGTATCACAAAAGTTGATAATGGCTTAGAAACTATATCAGAAACTGAAACGATGAAATTATTTAAGAATATAATTAATCAAATACTTGATCGTTGGGAGTGATTTTTTTTAATTTTGTTTTTTGATGTTTTAGATTAGAAATAATAATGTCACATTTTCCCTATTTAAAATATGAAATCATCGATACGTGCAGTAAGCGAAGGTTTTTTTGTTGTTCTCTAATTGTGTTTCCTTTCGTTGTTCCAGAACGAGCTAATACAAATGCAGATGAAAATCTAGGTTCGGTGACTTATTTAGCTTATGATCAAAAGGATAACAAAAAAGCTAAATATGCCTTAAAAATAGTCGATTTAGAAAAACTGGCAAATCTTAGTGATTTTATTGTATGTCATTTCTTTTTTTTTAAATTAAACTTTCGAAAAACTTTTCCCTTTTGCAGAAAGACATTTTATGGTATAAACAATTAAATCATTACAATCTCATGTCACTTCGTGATTGTTTTCTTATCGACACAAAACTTCATCTTGTTAAACCATATGCTTCATTTGGTAAATTAGAAAAGAAATCATTCTTAATCATCATTTATTTTCGATAAAAGGTTCTTGTGCGGATCTACTCTGTTGTCATCCGTTCGGCATACGAGAACCATTGATTGCACACATTATGTGGCAGATATTACAAGCACTTAGCTATTTACAAGATAGACATATTGTACACCGGTAAGTCTATCTATAAGTGATAAGAAAATACATTTCTAGTCATTTTCAAGGGCTATTACTTCGAAACATATCTTTATTTATGATGATGGGCGTATTTTATTAGATCATTTTTCGCATTGTATATCGATGATATCACCATATGATGGAAAATTACGACGTCATATACATGACTTTACCGATGATCTTAAAGATGAAATCTTATATTTAGCACCGGAAATAATTTTTCAAGTTAGTAGAAATTTGTTTTTCTTCTGAAATTGAAAACAAAAACAAGGTTTCAATGAAATCTATTTAGAATGCAGATGGATATAATTTTAAAAGTGATGTTTATAGTTTGGGCATGGTTGCATGCGAACTGGCGAATGGCAGTAATACTTATGTTGATATGCCTTTTGGAAATTTAAGTGTAATTTAACACACGTATATTGAAGTTTTTATACGATACTTTTGTTTAGATGTTATATGCTAAAATGCAAGGTTCAGAACCGATTCTACTTGATGAAACTCAATTAACAGATGAAAGTATGTTCTAGAATGATTTTATTTTAAAATAAGAACTGTGGTTTTTCTATAGTGATTGCTCTAAGTGATGATAATTCCAGTGCATATGTTGATGAAATTAGAAAGCGACGATACTCGAAAGAATTCCATTCATTTGTTAAATGTTGTGTCTCTGCACAGCTTGAATCAAGGTATGGCTAAAAATTTATAAGCATGTTTTTTTTTCGCACATAATTTATAATTTAGATATTCAGTTGATGAACTTTTATCACATCCGTTCCTGAAGCATTTGAAAAAAATCAGCGGCGATCCTCAGCTGATTGCCGATGATATGGCGAAAATTCTTGGATTTTACGAACAACCACAACCAACCACTGCTGCAACAAACATTGATAGAACGATCGGTAAAAATGAAATTGTCATTCATAAATATTTCTATTTGTTTATTTAGATGATTCCAATACTACAAATAATAGTATCAATTTATCATGGGAATTTTAATAGGATTATTTTCTAGTTTTAAAAAATTAATAGTAAAATGCATGCTCTTCTTTTTATTGTTGTTGCCCGTTCTTCGTTCTGTAATGTATGCTTTAACAAAAATTGTAGAAAATTAGATAACTTCCTTTTTTTTGCTTTTTACTACCTATAAATAAAAATATATATAAATGGCAAATGATTTGTATTTTAGATAAAAATATAAGCTTAGCATGACAACATTATTAAATGTTCAAAGAGTAAAATATCAATGCAGTTGTGGATCATTTAAATCCTTATGTTTTCTATATTTCTGTCGGCATTGTCTGAAAATTAAATGTAAAGATTGTGTGACGCTTGAGGTAAGTTAAACTTGTATATCAAAGAGTTAAATCCTGTAAGTTTCATTTCAGGTTGATTGTCGTTTTTGTCCGAGTTGCTATGAACATCTACAATCGCATGAGGCAATAACACGAAAAAATCGCTGTCAAAATTGCTTTTCATGTCCATCTTGCAATCATACATTAGTAACACGTGCAACAAATTCATTGGCAACGTTACCTTCCAATTTAAATATAACACCTGAGAATATGAATGCTGGTGCTGATGCCGATGATAGTGTAAGTAATAGCACAAATACTAGTGGACTACAAACTCCATCGAAAAAAGTCTACTATTTGGCGTGTAGCGTTTGTCGTTGGTCAACTCGGGACATTCATCTTGCCGATCAACCAACGATTAATTCGTGGAAAGCTCAAGATAATATTCATGAAGGAAGATTCAATGAACTTCTTCAACATTATAAACAAATAGCGACACGTGAAAAACAAGAACGCGACAGGAAACGATACTCGACAGTTAAATTACGAAACACAATCGCAACGTCGACAACTCGATCATCATCAGATAAATATGGTGTATTGACGCCATTGACTCGGCGCGGTATTCGTACAGGTGGAATTCTTAAAACACCCTCATTAAATGAAAATTTAATTCCAACCAATTCGTCGCCCAAGCCGTCGGATTCAATTGCCACTATCGAACCACTTGATGAAACTCTTTTTCTAAGTGATTCATTTGATTTTAATAAACTAACAACAATTACACAACGTCTAAATTCTGTTGAATCTCAACCATTAACCATTGATCATCTCTATCCATTGGCAAAGAATTTTACATCAAAACAATCGAAACGCTGTAAAGAATGTGATCATAATGTACTTAAACCAGAACCATCACCAAAATTAATTAAATTTAAATTACATCAAATGGCATTATTTTTTATCCCAGAGGTATTTAACTGTCTAGTATTGTGCTACTTGAGATTCGTCCAATAGTATAGAAGCGATGAAAACTAATGCGTTTTGATTTTCTTTCCCGTTAGGTACGCATCTGGCATCATCCAGCATGGTCATTTGATGATAATAATCCATGTATAATTTCGGTTATTAATCAAGTCGATGAAAAAACACTAATAAAATTATATACATTAGATGAAATTCGTCAAGAAAACGATGAAAATAATAGTGAACTAATCGAACGCATAGGCCAATTGGATGAAAATACGTTAACAAGCATATTAACATTTCCAATAGAAAACGACCGTTCAGTTCAATTACATCCGCATGTTGAACCCAATGATGTTGATACAAAAATCAATGATGAACTTCGTCAAAATGATCCAAAAGATTTAGTTATTCATCGAAAATTTGCAAAATTGGCTATTCGATGTTTTGTTAAAATAAAAAATTCTGACGTAAAAAGAGTTCGAGTGAGTTTTCAAATCTTTCTCCGTTTTCAATACGAACGCAAAGAAAATAATTTATGTTATTTAGGCTGCTTTCGTTATTGAACATCGTGTTGTTGGCATTTCATCGATCGTTAGTACGCCAACAACAACCAATTCAAATCCAAATACACAAAATATTCGACATATTATTCTTATTGATTTTGGCTCTATTGACGAACCAGCACTCCCTTTACATTCAGCATTAGTATAAACATATATCGCTTGAGGGGGGCCTGTTTGCTTTTCGTTTTAACGGTGTATGGAATAATTTTTATTGGTGGTTCGTTTTCTTTTTATAATCTTAGCAGTGGTAAATAAAGAAGAAGAAAAAAGGGCCGAGAGAATATCGCAACGATATATATATTCCTTGTTTTTCTCTTTCAAAAAAAAAAACCCAACTTCTATGATGAAAATGTATCTACGTTTATTATTGTTTGTTTTCATGATTGATTTATGTCTATCGACTAAATCTTATCACATTCAATTGAATGATGTAGATTTAAATTCATGTAATAACGAGAATTATATTTTTGATATACTTTCATTTAATATTTGGACGGACTATTTGGAAATACCCGGTTTTTTCGATTGTTCATTATCGTTTAATCTCAAACAAAATTATTCTGCCGTACATTCGACGTATTCGATTCAACTCGATCGAAAATTAGGGCCACTATGGATGCCTATTCCGTGTATAACTGATAATTGTTCCGAACAATCTTTATGTACACTAATGAAAAATTCATGTAGTTCAAAAAAATCTTGCAGTACTAATTGCCAATTATCATCCGGAAGTCATACACTGGAAAATATTCGTATTCAATTGAAATCAACATTATTGGAACATGAAATATTTACTAATGGACAATATAGATTCAAAATTAAATTTTATGATCATAAAAAAAAGCCGATCGGATGTCTTACTGGTTATTTAACACTACGACAAAACGACTATTTGTTATAAAGACACAAAAATAAAACAGTTTGCTTGACCTTCGATTTAACATAATGAAATAGAAAAAAAGCTATTTTTATGGTATATGTAGCAATGATTTCATGATCGGTAATAGTTCATTCATTTCTGTTGGTGATAACACATTATGTAAATCGCTGTGGAGATAATATTGAAGCATTTGCCATGACGTAAAATGTGCAACAAGTTCATTGAATATATGAACAGCTTTTCCATAGCCGTGAATTGTCTCTAAATATTTCCATAAAAGTTCCGTATAATAATTTTGTGCACGATATACAGCCATGCCATCGTCTAGACACGGCTCCGTAGAGTCACTAGTTGCAGAAAAGCCTTTGGTTAGAATAAGTACAATAAGTGCCAATTGTATTATTCGAGGATCATATTGTGCGATGCGTACAAATGATTCGAAAATTTTTTTAACTCTCATATAAATATCTTGACCATGAACTTGCGCGAGTATTGTTGAATCCCACGGAGCATCAAAGTCAGCTTCGATAATTTTCTCCGTTTCTGAATTATATCCAAGTGTGCAATTTAAAATAAATAGTGGCATTAAATTATATTTAATTAAAGTAACTTTATCTTGGACCGCTAAATCATTAAATTCAGGAATTTGTTTAAAAAAAGATAGAAGTCTCATCGCTGAGACCGAACGAGCATTGAGATGTTGCAATAGAGTACTTGTATGAATCGATGGATTCCATGGGAGACCATCACGAGCCGCTATAGAGAAATAAAGTCTATCAATGAGTATATCCTTTAACTTTCGAAGCTCCTACTAACCAAGTTCGATACGTTGTTCGAATGATAGTTGTATTGTTTGTACGCGTTGTAATTCTTCGTAGCTAAGTAATTGTCGTGATCCGTCTGTTTTTTTCTGTGGTAAAAGATCCGTATAATCTTTTAGTAGAAGAAGATTTGTACCACTTGTTTCAGATGACTAGCAAGCAAAAAAACATATTTTATACTTTTGCTAATGAAATAGAAGTAAAATAAATTACAGTAGTAACAGCTGGCGACGCTAATGTTTGAGATTTTTGTTGTTTAATTTCTGATATTAAATTTTGATTATTTTCCGTTACTTTTAAAGTTTGTATTCGATTTTCTTCTATTTTACGACGTTTCACTGCTTTTTGTTCAGCCTAAATGTGAATATTTTCAATTAGAAATCTTCTTAAATTCATAAAATGCATACATTTAATAACCGGTCACGTTTCATTCCGCTCTTTAAACATTTCGCTAAACGACATGCGGAACAACGACGACGTGATTCCAATGTAACATCGCAATCGCCATTTCGACGGCATTCAACTGTTTCCTATTTAAACATAATAGCAAATTAATTCTGTAGATTTTTATTCTTTGTAGCTCTCACTAGATCTTTAAGTGCATTTCGACGAAAAAAAGCCTTACAACTTTCACATGATATTGCATCAAAATTATATCCATTCGCTGTTGAACCACATACAACGCATGTTAATGTACCATTTTTTGCTTTCCTATTAGTTGATGTTTGACCTTCATGCAGAACGCCGTTCATATTTGAATGAGATATTTCTATATTATTACCATTAGCGTCCAAAACTATCGATTTAAATAAGGTGACATTGCCACTGCTTTGAAATTGTTCAATTATACTTTCATCAGCAGTTATAATCATTATTCGACGTTTTTTTGAATTTGTTTCTGATGTCGATTCTGTAGAAGTCATAATTGTCAAAGAAAATAATTTCTTCTAAACTAGAAAGAAAAAAAATCGCTGGATAATTCTCATCTAATGAATGACGTGAACGTAGTTTTCAATCATTAACATAAACTCTACTTCGTAAGATATCGCTAACTTATGCTGCTGACAAGCTTTATGAAAAGGTCAAAAAAACAACAAAGTACGAACGAGCGCATGACTTCTCGTACGTTCTTTTTTCCTGCCTAGAATCTTGCACTCTTATTCATTGCTTTTTATTCATTCCATTGATGATCGCCGCTGCCAAACCAGCAGAGCTTTTACAACAATGGAATTTCGTTAACTTCTCTGAAAGAAACAGCGAGAATATTCCTAACCAAATTTTAGTTACCCTAAGATAAATATTGTTCGATCCGATCAAATATAAAAAGTGATCTTATGAGTAACATTAGCGAGCAAGACTGTAGGTATCTTATGATCGGTGACTTACGGATAAATATATTTTTTTTGTACTTGCCGTTTAATTTTTCTTCTCTCCTAAAAGAATAAAAATTTCGTCGTTTTTATGTAAAAGGTGGTGCGACAGTAAGGTGCGCACGTTAGCAAGCCAATAGCATGTACAGAACGAGCAAAAATCTATGTTTGTTTACGTCATGTAAAAAGAAAAAACACATTTCTTTTCCTATTTGCAATTCATCGACAGAAGAATCAAAAACCAAATGTTTATTTGTAGATAAATAGAAAATGCTCATTCAAATATCTCTTCCTTTTGGAATAGTAGTTTTTGCAGCGATTCTATATCAAATAGCCGATCATTATGCCCGTCGATATTTAGGTTTTAATTCAACTGATCACATTCCTATTTGTAAAACTGGTTCGTCATCAGCGCCTGCTCTAGTTTGCGTACTAGGTTGGGGAGGATGCCAACGTCGACAACTACGGCGTTTACTTGATTTTTATTCGTCGCATAATATTTCAACAGTATCATGGATTAATCCAATGTTCAATTGTCTATTGGGTATCGATACGAAACAAGTTGAACGTGTACTTGACTTTCTTCTACATGAGAATCGAACATCGAAAAAAGTCATTATTATTCATATTCACTCAAATAACGGTACTCTTGTCTGGTCGCGTATGCTTAATATAATGATGACCAATGAACATTATCATCAGTTATTACCGAATATTAAAGGAATTATATTCGATTCGGCACCATTCGTGCGTTTGCATAAGTCATCCGATTGGATTATTGAGTCAGCAGTGGGCACAACAAAAGCCTGTGTTAGTATTATATTGAATCGAGCACAATATTTTCATGTGTTTTGGACTCCATTGATTACGTACTATTTATGTATACGATTTTTCTATAAGCGTTATTTTTCATCGGATCCATCGTCGTCGGGAAAAATATTAAGAGAACTTCTTAATACTATGCCAACTGATATAAAACAGTATTATTTGTACAGTAATGGTGATCGTCTCATTCCGTCGTATTCTATTGGTAATCTAGAGTTTTCTATATTTTAAGAATTTTTTATTCTTTTTATTTATTTTTTAATAATTTGTAGAACAATGTATGGCTAGACAAGTTGAACGTGGTGTTCAAGTTAGTTCTCATCGATTTATAGATTCAGGGCATGTCAATCATTTTCGTTTGCATCCTGAAGAATACGGAAGATTAATTTTAGATTTTATTGTAAAGATTTAAAAAAGCAAACCAAACTAACATGTCTGATAAATAAAACTAGTTACAAAATCAACTATACGATTGTTAAATCGCTTTTTATTTGTATCTATTATTTTAGTTTGATGAGTACAGTTAATGTGAATAAAATTCTTTGGCGTAGTCGTCGTCACACAAACTTTTCATAAGTACCAGGTGGACGAATCCTTTTTTGGCAATAAAAATATCATATATCTTTAACAGGAGTGGAAATAGGACCATCGTCTTATTTCTGTCAAACAAATATATCAACTGTAACATTTTCACTTTCGTCTTCGCTAGTTCTTTACTGCAATGCTGCAGTGTCAATGGTAACACCATGTTTTGCTTACTATTCAGCGAGTAATTATAGGACTATTGGTCAATGTACATCGAATGTCTCTGTTTGTGTTATCAATTTTTGTTGTTCACCATCAGCCGTATGTTATCCTAACTGATGATTTCATTTGATCTACAAGTGACATTTACGACAGATTCAAGTTCAGATTCAGTTGCTATTACCGATACCGATCGTGATGGTCATCTTAATTTTGCTGTGACAATTTTAGCTCTCCATCTTCGTTTGAAATGGGTCTCAATCCTGCTTCTATTGTCGTTGGTGACCTCAATAGAGATGGTCAGTCTGATTTAGCAATCGTCAATGCTAGCAGTAACAATGTGGGCATCTTTTTAAGCAAGGGTGCCAGTTTTCCGCCTTCATATTGATTTTATGAGTTGTTACGCCGCTTATCATTCCGTAGATTTTTTTCTTCATATATAAATGTCATTTTTAATAATAAACTGTGTATTATAATTATTCAGGCAAATAAATCAGTTGAGTGTTGTTGACCTTCGTATTCGATATACAGCAAACTAAATCTTGAATGTGGATGTGGGTCACACTCCTGCCGTTGGCACAATACTCCACACCCATCTTAGCGTTATTATATGTATTTATTTTCAATAGAATTCATATTTTTACGTGTTTTAAAAAGCAGGAAAAAAATGAGCTAGAGCAAACAGAGCAGATAAATGTTGTCCTATCGTAAAATACAGATAAGAAACCATCTGAAAAAAATAGACAAACAATGTAAGTAGTAAGAATTTTTCCAACAATAACAGCAACACGTTACTTATTTCGAATTCTGGTTCGTGGTGAGTAAAAGATTAGGAAGATTGAACCATCCTTCTATTATTGCACTAAACACATTAATAGTAGAGTGATTAAATAAAGAAGAAATCATGAACTATTCTATGTAGATTTGTGAGTGGCTTGCGATTTGGCTGGACATGGACGGTATAGAAACTGTAAATATAGACGACCAACCCACAAGGTCTGAATAGACATCAGTTTATCCTAAATTCAGGTTTCATAAGTTACGAGAAGTTCAAAAGGTAGCTTCTGACTGCAGCATATTACCACAATTATTACCACTTCAAAACTTTTATAAATTGTCGAAACTTTCTGTGGTCTTTTCGACCATTACTGATATCTCCGGAGAGAAAACTGAGCTTCTTATGACTAAATGTTGTAACAAGTATTGGTAATGAGTTGACTCCTGTTGCTTTTTCTTAGAAATCAAGAAACCTTATACAAGATACTAGCAGTCCGTTTTACTAGGTGATGTACAAAATTTTTCTCCTTGTTCAGTAGATATGCTTCTATGCCATTCAGTCCTGTTCGGATCTGGATTCAGACGCAAGTTTTAACATTAAAAACCCAATGGGCTCTATTTGATAGTAAGAATAAGTAATAGCTTGGTTTTTGATGAAATCATCGTCAAGTTTTTCCGAAAAATGTACCGAGCATATTTGATCACCAAAAGCGTTACTGTCAGACTGTGAGAATCAATATTCAGTTGTAAGGTCTTGTCTCGTCAACACTAATGTTATAAATTATAAAATATTAGCTCGAAATTAAAAGTATTAATGCTGTTTCTATTTCAATGGCGTAGCATAAAGATAAACTTGCCGTTTATTCTAGATTCACAACATTTCCGCATCTGGTAAACTTGAGAGAATTTCGGCAACAGAGAAATGTATCCACTATGTAAAGTAACTCCAAAAGACTCATCTCACATAGAAGTCGACAAAATGATAAAGTGAAAGCTTCATATGAGTTAATCCTGGGCGTCTGGCGGGGGGGGGGTGAGAATCTGGCGAGTGTAAGGAGTGTATGGGTTGAAGACTCATACCCGTTCAGATATTCATCTTGAAGAATCGACAAATGATGTTCTTTGTCTTCAATCTCACGATGTAGTTACAATTAGTTAATGTGATGTGTATGTATATGACTCATTTTTTTCAGGAGCCATATTTCCTATTAGTTTTTAGTTTTTGTTATGTACAACTTGATATGCTCTTTCTAGCCATACCATTGAATTTGGATTATACTTTAAAATTATATCTGTACTCCAAAGTCTTCTGAAAAATTTATTACAGAAAAAAATAATCTACTGCTGTTTTTAAGTCAAATCCTTTTCAACTTCAGTTCTATTGACATTATTTCGAGAAAACACACCTACTCATGTAGCCGATTTTATGCAATGATGGACATTGCTATGCATTATTTTACAATAGAAACGCAATGTATGCAATTACATGATAATGCAGCCTATTTAATGCATTATAATGAATTTGTTTTTAGAGGGTGTGAGTGTGGAGGTGGGCGTCAATCGGAAGAAACCAAGTACATCCACATCCACACCGTTCATTTGTCGAACTTTGTTCATGAATAATTATTTTATTGTAAAATACACATGATTCCGGTTAGCCAAAAAATAAACCAAAGATATGTACACTAGATCGTCGCTGTATTCATCGCAAATGTTTTTCAACTTTAATATAAAATATACATGCTCTTTCCAGCCAACGATTTCATTAAAAATGAAGACGCTGTTTAACATATGGCAGTATTAGTGGCGCCATTCCCGATAGAATAGTGATTATAATACCAGGTAATGATGGTTTTATGGTAAAGAGCGATGCATATGGTTCACAACTTTCGACTATTAATGACATTGTTATGACGTCGATAATCGGCTCGTCGTCTACAAGCTGTACAACTGCGATTGTTCTTTTCATATTGTCAACGATTTGGTTCGTAATCCACATAATAATAATCAGCGTTGTACAGACAACAAACTGCCCTCCAGTTTTCAAATAGAGGTCGATGCGTATAAAAGTCTGCATTGCAAGAACATAATACGCATAGATCAGTCCCCAGACCAAGTAACATACAATACATATACTGGCAAAAGTATTGGCGCAGTACAGTTCATTTCGTTCGCTGGATCTTGTATTTAGCCGGAAAACATCGTATGTGCAATCTTTAATTCTTTTTATGCCGAGCTGTTCGTTTCGTCCAAGAAAAAGCTTTCTTATTACATCACTTTTCTTAATGATATTTATGTAAGTATTTAACATGTAATAGAATGCCAAAATAGTTGGAACGATATTCACGATGTACACTGCCAAACGAGCACCTGTGCGCATTCTCTGCCCTGAATACTCCATTATTGTGTTATTGCCAATATCAGATATTGCGATATAAATTTCTCCGCTTAAAGATAATAATGATCCAATCAAAATGAAACCCATTGGTGCAAAGTAAACCCATCGCTTTGGATTGAACTCGAAGGATTCGTGCGGGCGCTTTTCCCTGGTGTTAACTGTCAGATCTGATCACGATTGATATTTATTAGCATTTTCCGGTAACTCATGAACGTTAGATCTATCGACTACTTCGGGTCTAGTAGAACTTGCATTAGGAAAGCCTTGATTTCGTCGAATCATCAATATAAACGACATGGAAACGAAGGGAAAAATGATATGCAGAAGAATCGTTGCCAGTATGATTGAAGTAAATAAATCAGGTGCAGTATTATCATGCTTTAGTGTCAAGAGTGTTGAAATCACCAGCAAAACACCGAGCAGAAAACTTATCACTAGTGCTAGGATGATCACTTTGTCCTAAAATTTAGGATAAAAATTGTGAATGTAATTCGATTCTTATCAAGAATCAAAGAAAGTGTTCTGTGCATTCATATCAATTTTTCAGAACAAACTTTTGTAGTTCAACCAGTCGAATGAAAAAGTTTCAGGAATCAACATCTCTGCTAAATAGGAAAGCGTCGTTCCGTGGGATCTCAACAGTGAAAACACGTAAGTTCTTCGAATTGCCTGATATATAGTCTATCTTGTAGAGCTCAACAAGTTAGCCCTATAGTAACAAATGCCCACCTATTCCTAGGAATTCCGTATAATTCCTGTTCAACCTAATTCCCGGAATTGCATTTGTCACCGAGCAGTAAGTGATATCGATGGTCCATTAATCACTGAATTCCGGAATCGCACGGACTTCCGGGAATTCTGGAATTGAGTTGGGAGTGATGAACGGAGTTCTGGGAATTAGAAGGAGTTGGTTCCGTGCACGGAACTGGTTCCAAAATGTTCAACATTGCGGAATAGGATGTATTCTCACGATTTGGTGATTTTCAGGATTCCAAGATTCTAATAATATTCCAGCCAAACTTGTGGGACCTTATTTCTCCGCAAGACAACGACAGGGGATCCGAATTTGTTACTATAGGTCTAACTTGTTGAGCTCTACAAGATAGACTATATATAAGGCAATTCTAAGAACTTACGTGTTTTCACGGGGTTGAGATCCCATGGAACAACCCAAAATTTTCAAGTCAATGTTGGGAAACTTATAAAGATAAAAAAAGTTGAGTTGATCGCGGCGTGGTTGGTGTCAAAGTCATATTTTTGAACAGCTTTGAAAAATCATATGTTGGCACCTTTTTTGAACTATTTGAGTGAGAGCTGTATTTTTTAAGCATAGTTGCCTCATCATGTTTCGAATCATCGGAAAATTTTCCCTCTCCTTGATTAAAAACAAAGCTTTTAATCTAATTTCCGCGAAATTGAAATGAAACATAGTTCCCTTGATGGATAACGAGAACTCTTTGTATTGTCTGTCACTACTGCTTAAAGGGATCCCA